TGGCGCCATGATCAATCGGGTTCCAGTGGGGTGAGTAAGGTGGTCAATCCATTCGAATAACATCTTCCGTTTGCAGATATTTTGATACTCCATATGCTCGATGATGCCGAGCATTGTTATCGATTAACAAACATTCTGGGTCAACAGCACTCCTAAACAATCTAAGTTAGGGTTCCAGTACCTTGTCCTGTATCTGAGCGATTATACAACTTCGTTGAAAGATATGCAGCTCGGTGCAGCCATTTGTCATCATGATTCCTGCCGTACATTAGAAATACGTACCGCTTATATGGAAAATAAGCAAGTTTCCTGCCGTACATGGAAAATACGGCAGACTTCAACGCGAATTACGTCGTACACGTAAGCCTATTGAATGTTTACCCAAATTACGTCGCACACGTAAACGTCAAAGCGAATTACGTGTAAACGATGCAACAGTACAACGCATGAAAAGCAACAATTCATACATGACACTGGCGTATCAAAACCAATAACTGGATACTTTTTTCCGTACACTGTTAACAGTGTTCCAGGACATTGTAAAGAGAAAAGTGTGAAATACAACAAAAGAGAACAGTCAATACAAACGGCGATGCACTAGAGTGAGCCACTGTAGTACCGCATTATGCCTAAGAGATTAGTTATCTTATTCAAAATCCCAACTGAATGATATGAATGAAAACCGCAACTGACATAAATACAACTGCTCTCAATTCACACGAAAACTATAGTAACAAACAGAAGGTCGATTAAACTTATTTCATAAGTTGGTTAGACCACTAGAAACATCTGCATCGGAAATTTCATTCTATTTTAGTTCTTCAACAGCTAAGCTTAATAACGATATTAAATGTTACCAGAACAATAAATATAATTCAATAATGGGTGTAATTTCTACAGAATCACCATCAGTAAAAGCAGGCCGAATAATTGTATAGAAACTACCATTTAGTCTACTTAAGAAATTAGAACTTAAGGCAAAGAATCCCAAACATTTTCTTCCATCAACCCATTTTAAGTGAATGGTTTTCTTCGTGGACAGTCTTGGAATTTTATTCTATTAACATAAAGCTTACAAAATAATCATAATGTAAATAATGCGCATAAACAACTTAACGATAACATATTAGACTAAGAATATGAACAAAAATTTTGGGAAAATGATTTAGCATACCTATGTTTTATTATTCTTATTACTTTTTAATTTTACAAACAAATATGTTTTCAGAAACAAAATCAGATTCTAATTTCACAAAATGTAGTTTTAATTAATGTGATGGCAGAATTCACACAATATTTCTAGTATTTAGAATAAAATTTCTTAATTCTAAAACCACGTTGCTTAACAACACTTAACCTGAGCTAAAGAGAAAACAAGGTATAAATCACACGTAGCCTGCGGACAGAAAAATCTGAGTTTGGGGGAGGAAGAAAATATTTTTTCCCATTTCTTGGTCCGCGATGCTTAGTATCATAGGAAATACAATCACTTTCGTAATTATTGATGGCAAAAAATTTTCTTCTCCATCTCTTGAAAATTTAGATTTAGAAAACCGAGTCTTTAAGAATATTTAGAAGTTAGAAGAACGCAGGAGAATCTTATTTCCTAGATTTCTGGTTATTTACTTTGTGTTCTATTACATAATCTTTTGATGTTTTTATGCCAGAAACATAAGAAACGTATGGAAAGTTACTTTTCGATTAAACGATGTAAATTTCAGTTATTCCAACTAGTACAATTAATATATTTGTCTTTCTTTTCACATTCTTCTGATTCAATCTTAAGTTAATTTCTTCAAACTTTGGGAAATTATTCAAGTATCTCTCTTATCATAGATTTTTAAAATACCCACTGATCTGATTATTTTTTTTTTATCTTAAAGGGCGTTAAACTCAGAACGGCTTTTAATCTCTAAACATTTCGTTTCGAATCACTATAAACGGTTGTATCCCTTTTCAAACTGTTGCCACCAAATATTATCGCCCAGTATTATAGTTAAAGAAATTAAATAATGAAGAATCTGCATGAATGTGTGTATGTATCTCTCACTGCGGAAAAACGAAGGTAACTAGAGTAGTCAAATTTTGAATATCAGTCCTCCTCCGAACATGGGCACCTGAAATACCGAATTTGGAATATGTTTTATTGTCTATGACATATTTTGTAAATCTTAACGAATTTTTGATTAAGAAACTCGACGATATCAAAGTGAGCAGTGCAAAACTTTAGGAAATAAAACATTTTTAATTCCTGCTTGCGAGACTGTATCGGGAATTGTAAAGCTGTGCTGCCGTTTTTAAATGTTTTTAACCCAAAGAGGCGTTAGACCTAATGCTCTCGAAATAAATGTCTGAATGAAGACATACGCCCATGTGGGCGTAATATAAAATATGGAAGTTTTCAGATTAAAAAAGATTGCATAAATATCTTATAAGAAAGGCTTAAAAAGTTGAAACTTCATTTACATTCGCATGTTTCATTTTAGCATTTTACACTTATTGATTTGGAATACACAGATTTCAGTTAATATTTGTTGCACTAAAAGTTAATATTTGTTTATTCTGACGAGTAATATTTAAGTAGAAAGTTGTTAAGTGACGAATAATTTCTTCCATTGTGCAATGGTGTTTTTGTGTTCACAGACAAAGCTATGAATTTCTATTAAAAATGCGCTTGAAGTAAAGGAGGGCTGCGAATGTCTGAATTCGTCTATATATCAGTGTAATTCATGCCCATAAATTAAATTTAAATATTACACAGTTACATTATATACACAGTTCATGATGCTTTCGATGTAACCAATAAAAGTTTCGCATAGCAAGAAAGAGCTAAAATGTTATTCACCCATATTTGCATCCGCGTTTCTACTAAATATCGGCGATAAAACATTCTACCGCAGTAATCTTTAACAAGATAAGTGTAACTTCTAAATTGCAATAGCAGTTAAGAGAGGTAACGAAACAGATTTTAATTTTCTTCGAGTTTCGAAAGAATTTGATAAAGTTATTTGTTTTGTCCTCATAAACTAACCTTTACTTTTTAAGTGTATATTAAATTTAATAAAAGCTTTAAAAAAATCACAGCTACAGGTTAGCATTTATGTCTAAGAAATGATGTATGCAGACAGGCGTCTGATCTCTTCTTTAGGCTGACCCATCTTTGAATAGCTGAAGTCGCGAAAGAGCGGCAATATGGATCCAGTTCCGTTCTCAGTGACCGAAATGTTTGTCTGCGTAAATTTTCCAGATTTTCTTTATGTTAAACGTACACATGTATGGCTACTCTTCTGTCTAATTTTGTAAACATTTAGATCTTTAGCAACTTTATTTGAGTTACGCACTAAGTTGCACGCAAACCGAAATGCTCTGCTACTAATTAGAGACATAGTTCTAGGTTAAAGTAGTTCACAACGTTCTTTTGTTTTCTGCGAGATCTGAAAATCAGCGAGAGAAACTAAAAAGGGTATGTTGGTTTCTAAAAAGGATTTTCAATAGGAACACAAGTCAAGAAGACGCTACTTCCTTTTGCCAGTGCGCATTTCAGAACAGAGTTATTCAAAATACTTCATTTATAAAGATTATTACGTGTTTTAAAATCTTGTGCAAGAGAAAATGTTGCATTTATCATAATCTTGAAGCAAAATCAAAAGAAGGCTATATATATTTATATAACTAATACATCCTAAATATGAATATGTCATGAAAAGATCACCACCAGTCTTCTGTTTATGTAATACTGAAGGATTATCAAGAACCATTCCTGAGAAATTTTGAATAGTGTGGATATAGTATAATAATAATAATGAATGAACGTTGAATAGTATCCACTAATTAGAGACAGTTACAGATTAAAGTAGTTCAGAACACTCTTCAGTTAAGTTATTCTAATTCTGTTTAAATGGAATCAAAATCTATAAATTTTTTACTTGATACTAACTCTTCCTTGTCTGTTATTCTGAAGTTTCGTTCATTGTTTGCAAGATTCTGTCAAAAATGACAATATTCAGCTTACATTGTTACGAATTTTGTACATAGACGATTTTAGTGAACTTGTGTGTGAAATTATTGTATTTTTCTGTGTAATGTAAATTAATTTAAATTTTAAAATTAAAATTAGATAAACAGGGCCAAATTTGGGGCTGTATAACTAACGGATCAATATTTGATGCGTTAATGTAGCTATAATTGCAACTCGGCCCTCGTATGCCTTCCAGTAAATTCGAGAAGCAGAAAGTACTAGAAATATCTCGGCGGCTCGTTCTCTGAGAACACGCTAGAGAGAGTGTTCTCAGAGTTGATAGTTCACGGGTTAGTTTCGCTCTTAAGATGCGTTTAACGTTTTTAGTAGTTCGAAGTGTAACTGCTGATTGTACTCTGGGATATTGTGAAGAGTTGTAACACTATTTCTGTGGAAAGTTCTTGAACTATGAAATGTTACTGATAAAATAAATTTTATCAACTTATCCGTGGACCTGTGTGCATTCAATCTATTACGAAACAGTACGCATGCAAGCCCTTTAAGAAACTTTATTCTGAGCTGATTATTATCTAACACAGCTTATTCCTTATTCAGTGATAAAAATTTACTCGATAACTACTTTTGATGAATATAATTTATTCAAATTTCGTATAAAACTTTATAACAAGAGCATCGAAATTATATCTAATACTGCTTAATATAGTTAACGTGCATTTTTTCTCAACTTATGAAAATAAAAACAGAATTATCTTTAATTTCTAACAGTGCACTTGAAATTTCTCTTTGAATTAACACTTTCCGACAGAAAACAGTATATAATAAATATTTAGTATCATAATTTTTGAAAGCAAACGATCATAATTTTAAGTTGAAACAGAAAATAATTTTTACAAACTATCACTTATTACATTTGCAAGTTTTGCACCGCAATAAATATCTGAAAAATTAAAATTGCAAAAATATGTACCAACTCATACTTTTACAGAGGGAAAGCTGTTAGCAACTATATGGTAATAAAAACTCAGTCTTATGTAATAAAAATAGATATAAATGTAAAGAATACTATTTTAATTCAACTTAATTTTATTCGAAAGGTTAATTATCGAAAATCAACTTGTGGTAAGTTTCTAAACAAAGTACAACGTTCAGTAGGGCTTACCAGCGGCCGAGCGGTAAAATCTCTGAACACTGGTAGTTCGATTCGGGGTGCGAGTTCCAGTAAACGAGCTGGCTGAAATGGCATTTTCGTAGTTTTCCCGGTGTCTAACGCGTATACCAGCCAGTTTCTCTTAAAGAGGCCTCCACGAATGCATCCCTACCCTTAGGCAGATAGTCTTCTCGTGCTCTGCGACAATTAGACGAAACCGAGGTACTGTATCAACTGAAATAGCAGAAATTAAATATATGTTTCGAGCTAAGATAAATTTAAAATTTCTGAAAATTACAGCATTTCAAATTTATTTGGAATTTCCTACAATACTTAAAAGTTGAGTTCAAGAATTTAGTGTAAATAGTAAACTTTACATAAATAGATAGTGATTCTATACAACACGGTGCATTAAGAACAAAATGTAAAATTTTTAATTTAGTCAGTTTTAGGTTAAAAATTTTAAAAAAGTAGATTTCGTTTTGCAGATGATTAAAATTGAAATTATATTGATTCTCTATAACACAACGCATTAAAACAACTGTAAAAAAAATTAATTTAGTTTTAGGTTAAAAATTCAAAAGAAATGCTGATCCTTTTTGCAAGTAATTGAAACTGAATATTGTTTTGTTACACAAAAATATGAGCTTGTTCTAGAGAAATAAGTTTCAATAAATGAACACTCGCCAAAATTCAGTGCTGATTACATTCGTAGTTACATTGCGTTGTAACTTACGGTTTGCAACTAGCACTTCCAAATGATTAGATTTAAGTTACTAAAATTCTCTTGTAGTGAAAATGTAAAGACATTAATTTTCTTTCCTGATTATGATAGTTTAACATTTTAAATTCAATGAACTTTTGTACTGTTCTGTTATCGAGACCGGATTCAGAAATGTATGAACGTGTGTGTGTATGTATACACACATTTCTGAACCCGGTCCTGATAACAGGATCTAAAGTTTTTCTGTTTGAATACAAGAGAAAAGATTTCTTGCCGAACTTGCTATAAAAAATAATGAGTAAATAAATTATTCCATTAGGTAACTAATTCTAATAAGAAATTAATAAGTCAAATACGAAGACTTGAAATGCTATAGGTCTTTCGTTGTATGTTACAATACCAAGTTTAAGATGCTTTTTCTGTAAGACTTAAAATATATTTAACTGTAAAACTTCTAGGCATAATTTAAAATTAATATTCCTAGAATTCACATCTGGATTCAGTTTGATTTTGCGGTTGACAGTCCAAAGAGGTTTACATTCACTTGAGATACGAAACGAGCTTTATCGTTTCGATTTTAAAGTGTTTTCTTTTGCCATATATTCATCCCACTTTCGCAAAGTGTCAGCTAGAAAATTTAGCAATTTTATACAAACTCTGGTTTTGCATTGATTTTATCGGCAATTCTTTTTTATAGCTGCTTCCAGCCATATTTGGCAAATTTTGGATTTGCGCAGAGATCTCAGCTATAATTTCGGCACGGTCGTAAAGTGTGAATGAATGATTAAAATTTAATAAATTTTTAAAAACACCACAATATATAATAATTATTACTTAATGAAGTTTGCAGGCGCTAATTTTTGCAGTTTGAATGCTTTAATTTAATGGTGATCTACTCTCGGAATCAGCAACTATCCATGGCGAACACACATTTAGAATTTCCTGGGATTACAGAACGGAACTATGATTTGATTACACACATTCTATGTTAAATAATTTATTAACTAATAAATTAGTTAAAATAAACACCACACTATATAATTACAATAATAAAAGTAATACTCGCATCTCGCTTCCTAAGAATATTTTTAAGAATTCCCCAATCCACGGAACCAAGGAGCACGTAGCCTGTCAAATATAGAGTCACGTGGCGAGGTACAAGAACACGCAGCCAAATTTGGGCGAGATACCTCGGTTGATTGGCAATTCAGTCTCGAAGCCTACTATCACAAAAGTACCCTTTTATCTTTTCTTATATTGAACGAGATTAGATTTATTGTAAGAAAGTAGATCCGATGCACACGAGAAGGAATAGATTTTTCGCGTTATTCATTCTAAAAATTTAAGATCAATAGAATTTTTGAAGTATGTCTAAACAAATTTAGGGGAAAATATATTTCAGGCTACCTCTTGGCGAAAATTGGCGAATTTTCGACCCGATTCCTGTGTACGTGCAGTGCCCTTCCCAGTAAAATACCATCCAAAACATAATGTAATAAACATAAAACAAAAATTTTCAATAAATTACATTTTAAATCAAAATAAAACAAGGAATTGACATAAAAGTAAATACATGTCACCTACAGTACGAAAAAGAAATATCAACTTTCCTCATTTAGAAATTTCTTCGTCTTCAATATGTAGTTCTTGGATTTCCTTCAAAGCATCCAAAAACTGTTTACAATTATCTGAACTAGAATCTGTATACTGCCGACTCTACATAGATTCACAAAAGAAATCAAAAATATCCTCCGTACCGCCGGATTGGTGGCATTTCTTTCGAAAATCCTTATTTTATTACACCCCAATAGGACAGACACTTCAGGTTAATCTTACCACCGGCAGCCATTTTAAGGTTCACAGCACAAAATAACCAATGTACTTCCTAACCATTATCGAACGCAAAAATAAGGCCTCAGAAATATTTTCCCAACAATCAAAATAACCGCAGTCACGCATTACAACCAATCACGTCATAATAAGGTTTCCAAAACATTCACCGTAAAATAATCTTACCATAAATGAAACAACTTTGCGATAATCCATGAGGTACCCTAAAATATAGACTAGCCCAAATTTGTTATTGATTTGAGAAAACATTTTGTGAAGCGCATGAAAGTATATAATAAAGAATAGTTTGAACTATATGAAAGTACTTTCATGTAGTTAAAATTATTTTTAAGATTTTTCTACAATGCAGAGAAATCAATAAATCTACCAAGGCTACATTCCTTTAATCGAGACACTTAACATAACTGGAATGCATTTTGATACCTTAACCGTTTGCACCTTCCAGTTGCTTGCAGTAAGCGGGTAGTGTGGAACTACTGATATGCGCCCTCAAGGCGCCAAATTTCTCGCCAAATATTTTTGGCGAGAAACTCCACGCTGCCATATTGCTATCTAAATTTTTTGTCTACATTTAGAACTTTAAGCCTAAAATGTCTCCAAAAATACGGTTTTCGCGAACGCAAAAACGACGTTTTAAACGCACAATTTAACTTAAAAATCCGAAACAAAAACAAAAAATTTAGATAGAAAAACCGTGAAGTTTCTAACCAAAATTATTTGACAAGAGTCCATGTACACAGCGATATGTTTTAACTTAAAAAAACATCTACGAATGGCACCATCTAGGCAACGAACGAATTTACGAACTACGTACACCTCGCTTTAATAATGTAACATAACAATAAATTTCAAAGAATACCATGTACACAGCGTTCTGTTTCAACTTTAAAAAACATCTACGAATTGCACAGTTTAGACGGTACGCACTAATCAACAAAATAACTAAAATAAATTTCAAACAATTAAAAAAAAAACAACAACGACGGAAATTCATACTAAAAAACAATGAACATAACATTCTACAAAATAAGAACAAGAATAAAATAAAATGCACTTACCATTAATGCTTTTTTGAACAACAGAAATACCAATTTAATACCGCCTTTAACATACCGCCACGTAATCACTATCGTATTTATATAACAGCCAGACACACTATTCAGAAAATTCATACTATGGTTCACAAATAAAATAACAAATAATCACAAATCCCTACTTCTATCACGCACAGCCACTAAAAATAATCTCCCATATCTTCTTTCCACGCCTCTAAATACCCATTGGCCCTCAACAGGATGGCCACGACGATATTTCCTTATGCCGAACTTCAACAACTTTCACCATTAAATCTTCCCCCCCCTAGCTTCTCAGACACAAAGCATGACGGGAACCAACGAACTCCAGCGAAAGATTTTTCAACGTCAACAGGGTTGCCATACAACACGCAATCGCGCCAAAAACCAGCGCAGAACTCATATCGCCACATTTGGGGAAATTAGGGCGTATATCAGAGTTGTACCAACTTCAAAGCAAATAAAATTATTTGGTACTTACGTATTAACGCAACCAGGCCAAAATTCGCATAAATCGCCGAATTTGGCGACCCTACTTACGGCAACCCTACGTGTTATACGTAGTTTTTCGTAAAGAAATTATTTTTCTTACTGGTTAGATTGAATACCTGAAATACTTTAATTACCTTTTTGGTTACTGTACCTAACAGAAGCGCCGTTACCCTCATGGAAAAAATTTGCGAAAATATCAAGGAAGGAAGCATCATTTATTCGGATTGCTGGAAAGGATACAATACAAGTGAGTTCGAAAATGCTGGATTTCTGCATGGAACTGTTAATCACAAATATAACTTTGTGGATCCCAACACGGGCGTTCACACACAACATGTAGAGCGCATGTGGGGCTCAGCCAAATGGCGCAACAAAAAACAGAGAGGAACAGCCCGTCGTCATCTTGACTCATACCTTATCGAATTAATATGGCGCCAAGCTCAAGCTGTTAATGGCGAAGACTGTTTTTAATCAGTGCTAAAAGCAATAGCCAAAAGATTTCCGCCTAAAAAATAATTCTGCAACTTATTCAAATTCGAAACCGGAAGGGTTTAATTGCTATTTTATATTTTAAAACAAAATAATATTAAAAAACTGTATTAAAAATTATCTGTAATTAATAAATGTACATTTTCTTTCTATTCATACTTTTTTACTCAAACTTACAAATCGCGCCAACCTGGTTGCGATAATACGTAAGTACCAATTATTTTATAAGATCACAAATTCCGGTATTTTCAAAATAATAAACGTCCATGTTAAAGTGAAGAATATCTAAACTAAGCATAACGCTGAAAGTTCAGACGAACCTATATGTGTCTTTCAAAATGTTTATTTCAACTGTATTATTCTCGAAGGAAACTTTAGATTATGACCTACTACAGATCTATTGGTGATTTTATAATCCGATCTACTGCAGAAGCAGATAACAAAATCACAATAGTTTCTAGAATTAAGTTACATTTTAAGAAATTAAGCTATAATCATAAATCTAACATCATTGTCAAAGAAACAGCACTTGAAAAATATCATGAGCAGTGTTAGTTCTAGATTCCAAACTGCAAATATTAATCAATAAAGTATCAGTCAAAAATCAATCCATAAAGTAGTTTTAGTGAATAAGAAAACTTTATTGACTACAATATTTCTTGATATAAAAATGAATGAAAATTTTAGCGAGGAGCACCACTCAACATTTTTTTAACTGAATCTTTCATTGCTTGAAAACAAAGTCCTTATTCTAAACAAATATTCCACTCTGAGTTCTTAAAGAAAGGTAACAACGGTAATCATACACTTTTTTTATTACCACTCCATAAAATCTGCAATCAGTTCCCTTTGGACAAATACAGCTGCGGAAAAAAAGAAAAATCTAGATTTACCTATATAATCAAAATTGAAAATACTTTCATGCTGCACATTAAGCTAACATAGAAAAGTCACGTTTGTGCAGAAGTTCTAACAATTGCTTAAAAAGATACTTGAGGTTAAAAGTATTCGCTTTACTCAATATTCCTGTTCAATAGCTACATGATGTTGACTTTCATATAAACTATACTTTATCTCTTGCAAATTAAAGTTGAAAATACTTTGTTTGGCATGTTCTCAAGTTCAGTTTTATATGTTCGGAAAAGTGTTGTTTAACCCTTTCAGTCCCAATGGGTTCTGCAAGTCCCAGTAGATGTTTAAAGAAGCCTAGAGGGAATTAACGCATCAATTTACGGCGTAGTTCATGTTCCACTGGTAGTAGGCATCATTTCCAACATCCCCACTACAAAACTATAGCGATAGACCATACACTACCACTAGAATAAAGTACCATACTGGTAGACTATCATCCAATTCAAAGTTGTTGAATATAGGAGATCACTTACCCATCGAAGAACCCAGTAGAAGGCATCTCAGTTGTACCAAGAGAAAAGAACAAAACAACGTGTGGCATGCAATCTACCCCTATGCAGAAACTGTTACTTCTTATCACACGCAAGTTATGAAAATAGCTTCTTTTGATTTTTTCTTTTATGTGTCAACACTTTAGTAATAACGGGACACCTATGTCCCACCATCACCACCCAGTCGGACATTTGTCCTAGGCCCCTGAAACCCCTCATTTTAAAATAAAATGTTTAAATTGGTATTTTTCAATTTTTTGTGACGATTGGTAATAGTACATAAAAACATCAAGTCAGTTGAAACAAATAAATTGGGACTGAAAGAGTTAAATGCGTTTCATATGGAAACTTCTTACAGCGCTATTTCTCAAAGATTTTAACGTCACGATCCACAGGTATATAGTTGTTCTGATAAAAAGAACAAAAATAATCTAGAACGAAAGGAAAAATGCAGAACTAATGTTAGCAGTAGATTGTTGCAAGTTCGCTATTTCTATTAAGAAAACATAATTATACAATTTGACAGCTAAGAAATTCCCTTCTTAGTGTTACAGACAATCCTTATGCTTATTTTGAGTGCTGCTTGTAAGTATCGACTATTTACGAAAGTATGTAGCTATGATTATTCTGTAACTGCTTTTAACCTACATTCATACATAAAAGTACTCTTTTACGTAATATGATTTAGTGATAAGCTTTTCTATCTCAAGCTGCTATAGAGATGAAACTTAGATTTGCAAGTTTGAAAGATAAAAAAACTTACTCGCTTTGAATGCAAGGCTCTTTAATGGAAAGTTCGATGGCCCTGTATTCGTCGGTTGCTATATAACCACATGAGAAGCCTTTCTTACAGGCAGGCAGTTTCAATCTCTGTAAAGGAAGAAAAGTTAAGTAAATATGCAAAACATGATTTAAAGGTAATTTAAAAGCATTAAGATTAAATCATGCAAGACTGAAATTTAAAATATACTGGCGGGCAAGCCCGCTAGCTGAGCGACCAAAGCAAAATTTATAAGTTCTGTGTAAACCTGAAAAAAAAAAAAATAAATGCACTAAAACATTTCAAAATGAAATCGGATCATTCTTTCCAAGCAGCAAAATCATTCCGTATGACATGATTTAAATTTAATGTAACAAATTTTTCCCGATATCAATCAATAAATTAACGTGGCAATAGCATACCGTGTCAATTCTAACCTGAAACAAAAAGTTTGACATCAGCAGTTATTTGCTGATATTCTCTTATTTATGTGGTAAGCTCTAAGGCACTATATGGAAGGGAAGGATGCCTTCGTGGAGGACTTTCTAAAGGTGCTGGTTAGTATTAACAGGCTACACATGAGGAAATCACGAAAACGCCCATGTAGCCAGCCCGTTCGCGGGATTCGAACCTCGGACCGAACTACCAGTGTTCAGCGTCTTTACCGTTCGGCCGCTGATACGCCAAAATGCTGACATTAACGAAAACGTTTCGACGTACAATGACGTGACATGCAATCGCGTGCTTTCTTGAACGTCAGAATACGGACTTGTATAATAACATATTTAATGTTTAGATCATTAATGTTATTAATCATTAATGTTATATTTAATGTTAGAGATCATTTTATGCTTCTATTTCTTAATTATCAAACAGGATTTAGCAGTTCTACTTTATAAATATAGTGTTGAGCATAGCATCTTTATAAACTAATATGGCACGTTCCTGGCCACTCTGACGCGGTAACTTCAGCTGGTCAGAAATTATACCGCTTAGTTTGTCCCGCATGATTCTCAGGGTTCTTTTTAGAACGTTTTTCATAACAATATAACGAAAAATAACTTTATGCCTAATGGGTAAATTCGAGGATGTAAGACTTTTGAATTTAAACAGCTACCAATAACAGTGACTTTGTGGACAAGATCCAACATGTCGATATGGGACTAAATACACAGTCTCTGAAGAACTGGTTTAAACGGACAAGACCACATTAGCAGCATCGAGTTAAATGTTTTACTTTTTTTTTTCGAAATATCTTTTCATGCAATTGTTCAAGCATCGCATGTACACTGAAACTGTTCTTAAAGCTAGAACAAAGAAGCAATTTATATGCAATTAAACAAAAATCTAAGAATAATTAAAAATCATTAATTACTAAAATCTCTTAAGTTACCTCTTATGATATTTGAAATTATATTTGCGATTCACATTCTCTAAGAGAATCTTCAAAACGTGATCATTTCAAAATATATGTATACCGGCAAAGTATGCAATCCGGCATTGTATAAAACGTGAAAAACTGGCCGGCCAATGTATGAAACGATTAAACATTTCACACATTTGCTTAGGCATTTTATTAGAATGCCAAATGACAAACCGGCAAAGTATGAACTACATCTGCGATACTTTTCGAATAACGGAAAGTACTCAGCAGAAGTTAATAAATGATGTAAAAAACGCAAAGTGACTGCCAAGAAGAAACCATGGGACTATTGGTTGCTCAACCGCTAGGATGCGATGTTTGTGGAAAACAAAAGTAAACTCATTTGTCCTGTCAGAGATGACGTCAGTTATTTCTCGTACTTCACGAAATTCATTTGGCTGTTGGCCACGGAGGCCGTGACACAATGTTGAAGGAACTTGAAACCAAGTACAAAAATGTTACATACATATGTAAATAATATTGAACTGTACATCCAGTTTTGGGAGTCCTTCCAGAAGTAGCAATATTAAAAAGGGCATTGTGAAACCTATGATTTTTCAGAATTTAATTCCTGTTGTCAGGTACATTTCATTAATTTCCATTCAGGTAAAGAATACAAATTTATTACGATGTACTAAGATAATTTTTAAGGTATTTAGAACAAGTTTTTTTTAATGGTAGTTTCATAATTTTTTCAAAATAAAATTGCATTTTCCAGGAATGAACGTCTTTTAAATAATAGCTTAGCATGACTGTTTTTCATACTTTGCCTAAAGCGCATTTGCCACTCTATAAAATGCCTAGGTATTGTATACAATGCGTATGTAAAGTACATAATAATTCTTAAAGTATCTCAAAGTTCTATATCTCAAAGTTCGCCTAAAAAACGAGAGCCATTCAATAGAATGCCTGCATTTTATACATGAAATAAATATAAAGATACATTGGTAACATAAAATAAACAATACTACAGAAATCAAACTGGAAAAATTTACTGCAATTAGCGAAAATAAAGACGAACCCACAATTAAAAATTAATATTTGTTTGAGCCTTACTGGATTATGGCAACTGCACGAAGGCTGTCTAGTTAAGCTATCCAGCTAAAGAATCTCGTACTTATGGCTATGCGTGTTCATATTTATATCTAGGCTGTTCAGTTAATGCCTTTACGGAGGAGCGTTTAAGGCGGAAACCACGAAATTTCTCATGAAGCCAGTTGTTTCGCTAAGATTTGAACTGGGCTTGAATTACCAATTATTACTAACTGGCCGCTGGTAAGCCCTGCTAATATTTGAAGATCTGCGTTTTGCGAGATTTGTAGTACAGCATTAGTGTGCAGTAAATTATTCAAATTATGCAGTCATATTTTTAATAGAAATCACTCATGTATTTTAATTACAGTTAGCTATTAAATTAGCTTTCACGTATTTAATTACAGTTGGCTAAAATTGTGTTTTAATGTAGCTCTACAGCATAATGTACTCTACTCATTAATTTCATATTCTTCAGAATGAGTGCTTGCAACAATAATAGTTCTTCTGAAAAGGGAATGCAATTTGTTATACAGCATTATAATTTCCTTTTATGGACTGAAAACCGAACCTGCTGACATTTTAATTTTGGGGTAGAACATTCGAAAAGCTGATAGTTATAGTGAAATTTTATCACAAACTGGCAAATTATGATGCGCCAAACACATGATAGTTACATGCAACACATTTAAAACAGAAGCGGACTTACAAAATTAAATGAAATTGCGTGCTGCTGAAATATTGACACGAACCTGCCCCATGAGATTTTTTTAATTATTTCCAATGCAAAAGAGGAAAAATGAATATCCTGAAATACATTAGAATGGATGGTTTTAAAATACCATGAACTACACAAAACCAAATCAAACCCAAGGTTTAGGCGCTGAAAAAAAAGTTAGAATCGTACTCTTCCCCAGTTAAACATTCGAAAGCAGGTTATATACGCTAAAATACTTCAGTTGAAAAATATTAAAATACGGACATTCAATTAAGAAATCTTTCTCCAACAAAACAGCAGTACAGTATTATTTACGTGTTTCACCCTATGGCACTGCACGGAAGGAAGGGAGGGGAGGGATGCCTTCGTGGAGGACTTTCTAAGGAAAGCTGGTTCGTATTAACACGTTACACATATGATAAACCCCAAAAACTCCCATACAGCCAGCCCGTTCGTAGGATTTCAACTTCTGACCGAACTACCAGTGTTCAGAGACTTAAAGCGTTTGGGCTTGTGGTGGCCCCAGTTTACAGTATGAACAAACAATTTCACTCTCGACTTTTAAACAGTAATTGTGTGTAACACGGGAATGACCCTTCTGAGATAAGTTAAAATTTACTTCTTCCTACTGATATCCCAATATTCTATTCGAATTTTAATGCTTCTCAGGAAATTAAGAAATTATTTATCCCAAAATAAAAGCAAATTTAATCAAGATTCACAGCCTCACTCTCCGATATCTTTACAGAAAGTAAGCAAAAGGACAATTTCTCTGCACACCAGCTCATTTCGTCTAATCCATACATATTCAGGACCCAGCAGTTAAAAGAATTTTGTACCCATGGCTACGCATGTACAAATTAATGCCCAGAATTTCATCATTTAATGTTTTCTGAGCACCCAAACTATCTAAGTGTTCATTTAACTATGCACTCTTGTGTGCTCTATAAATGCACTTAACGAGTAGGTATAAATAATAAGCATTCTCTGGCATTACTTAGAATACACAGCGGTTAATTCTGAAGCAGAGTACAGGAATGTGAAATTTTATTCTCATGATTTCCAGTCAAAAATACTGCTTTAGAATAAGTGACTGGTTTTACCTCGCACAACTGCCAAAATGAAACTTGCAATTTAAATCTAATTAAAAGTGAAAAACAGCAACTTAAATCTAATTAAAAGTGAAAAACAGCAACTTAAATCTAATTAAAAGTGAAAAACAAACTAAATAAAAGTGAAAAACAGCAACTTAAATCTAATTAAAAGTGAAAAACAGCAACTTAAATCTAATTAAAAGTGAAAAACAGCAACTTAAATCTAATTAAAAGTGAAAAACAGCAACTTAAATCTAATTAAAACTGAAAAACAACTATTTAGATATAAGATAGCAACATATACTCACCGGGAAGTCAATCACTCTAGGAAGTTCACAAAGTGCCGGAATACTTAAGTACAGCCACTAAAACTACAAATCCAAAATCCTTCATGATGAAAAATGGTGGCTAGGCTGGGCTGGGCTGGCTGAGCTCGAAAACCTATAAACCGTCCACTATCACAAGATATATGGTCAAGTCTCAGAATGGCGAATTTATTGTACTGACGAGAAGAAACTCGATGAAAGCTTTCCGAGGGTACGAATGAGCCAATCCAGTTCTTAATGTTACAGAGCATGCGCAGTTTGCACCTATGATAGAAACGGACCCGTTCTCCTTTCTCGCTTCACTTTAGTTTTCCTTTTTTGTTCCTTCGACTACCAGTGTTCAGCGACTTGAACGCTCGGCCGTTGGTAGGCGATAACTTGGATACGTTTAAAAGATACGCAAACAAGAACAGATATATCAAGGGGAAAAATCCGGAAAGTCCTTCTTAACGTTCAAATCTTTGGACTTAACATGCGTCAGGTACAGTGAGTTTGCCTCAAAAATCCCCAAATATCAATGATCATATTAGCAAACAAGCAAAATCCTTGCTGAAAGACCGTACAAAATAATGACTGTAAACATGTAACGCTTGCGAGATTCCTCGTACTTCAGGGTGCAATGATTGAGAAATTCCTCGTTCTTATCATACTGTTTGATTGCTAAAATGTACGCAGTATGATAAGAAAAGGAAAATGGGTATCTGAAGTCATTTGTAAATTCTGTCTTCCTACTAATTATATGTATTGACGACCTAGTAAAGAATGTTTAGCAAAAAAACGTACTCCTTTTACGTATTACTGCTCAACTGTACATAATTTTAAGAAATGCACTCGCAAACATATATAAATAACAGCCACAGCAATGCTAAAAGTTGTGGCCCTCTCAATATTCCACCCAAAACATCAAAATTAAAAGCATTCGATAGTTAAAAAAAGTGTACTGTGGTTGCTTAATAGTAAACTGATACAAGAAGAAGACTCTGTGAACAACTGATTTCTTACCTCTTAGAAACCTACGTATAAACACTTATGCTTCGCAGAAAAGAACTGAAAGAACTTTTACAAAGCAAACATAAACATTTTGTACTTAGATATGCAAATGGACATTATGCAGCCACGTAAAAGGTAATTCTGTAATATTGTATATCTGTTTGCATTAATTTTATATGTACAACTTCTTACACATGCTTATTATATTTAAACGTAGGCACCAACTGATATTTCACTGTAAATGTAGCGAGAATGGTGGACGAAGACCTCACAGACAACTAAACGACTTCGAACGTGGTCGCATTGTAGGGTTGCGGGAAGCTGGGTGGTCATACCGAGCAATAGGCCGCCACCTGCAGCGTACAAACACTGCTGTGCAAAGATGTTGGCAGCAATAGTTGCTACAAGGAAGTTGCTGATGAAATGAAGGCCACGCAGCATAAATGCGAAGCAAGGTAGGATAATTGTTTGCCAGGCCCAAACCACCACAACGGTATCATTGTCGACTATTCAAGGCACTGCAGCCACGTCTATACCTTCCGCGGTACCGTCCACCACCTCACGGCGCTTACCGGAGGCGGGTTTACGCTCACAGAGGCCTTTAAGACTTTTGACCCCACAACATCGGCAGAGTCGTTTGGAGTGGTGTCGCAGCCGATTATCATGGCTGCCATCAGACTGGCATCGTATACTGTTCAGCGATGAATCCCGTTTCACTTTTGAAGCAGATGATGGCCACGTTCGTATCTGGAGAGGACGATGCCAGCGGTCTCAATCACCCTTTGTTTTATAAAGGCATACAGCCATAACCCCTGGTGTGATTGTGTGGGGCGCTATTTCTTATGAAAACAGGTCATCTTTACTCACCTCCGTACATCTTTAACAACTCAAAGATATGCTTATACCATCCTGCGGCCGGTTGCATTACCCTTCATGGCACGTCCTTCTGGGGCCATTTTACAAGATAATGCCAGCCCACATACCGCTCACATATATCTGGACTGTCTCCGTGCGGTTGATACTCTTCCTTGGCCAGCAAGGTCACCAAATCTTTCACCAATCGAGCATGTCTGGGATATGGTAGGCCGGAAATTCGGGCACTACGAAATATCGCAGCATGCATTGCCGCCAGGAGCGGTTCGACCAACTATTAAGTTGAATATTCAATGGGTGATTGTGAGCCGTTGTCAATGGGTGATTGTGAACATTCAATGGGTGATGTTCTATGTGATATAAGTTTATAGTGCAAGTCTTCAAGCTATAGAGGATTTATTTTTCATAAGATTGTGAAATGAGCTCCAATACGTTCTGGCTTTGAGCTTGAGAGATTCTGGCTTTTCAGTTCCAACTTTCGCCATTGATCATTGGTCATGGGAACGCTAAAATCGGTATGGAACAAGTCCAAGATATCTCTGTGTTGTCCCTATTCACTGATATGCGTACGTTCATGTGGCGTTGAAAATACAATAGGGTAACCGAAAATATAGTCATCCAGTACTTTCTCATTGGTATTCGAAATCCTGCAACCCTATTCCATATACTTGGCGTTGATGGCACCGCCAGTGTACGGGCATAGAGTCCAGAATCATTTTATTGAGAGTAACCTGAATCTGTTATTTTAAGGATTATATATTACAATGATAAAGATTGTACTGTGCACAGGGAGACTGATGTGTACTGCTACAATTTATTAGCCCTCCTGTTGTCTTAAATAAGAGATTAGGCAAGAGTTAAAAACAGGTTTTACATAGATGGCAATCTACCGCCCAGACGTTATAGTGGTTGGGAGACCCAATTGCGATACGAAAGGGCCCGGTTCGTATCCCAGAGAAGGCATGGCTGTAATTGGGAAGCAAAAGTGGCGCACCTATTATGTGCCTCCATAAGAAAGTGGCCATCAATTCTGTCCTTAGCAGTGCACAAGTCGGTTGAGGGCCCGCCATTGAAAAAAAAAAAATAAGGTGGCAATCCCGACACACGTATGCCTACATCTATTGAACTTGTATAGAGATTCTGTCTCTCATTAGATAAGGTAAGTATATCAGCAATGAGATAGATAGCGACATTAAAGTTAAAAATGAACGGGTGGGATACTTTGATTTTTGTTTTCAGGTAAGCTGCATTCCGAAGAACCAGTGTAAGAGAAGAGCTACTGTTAGCTGAATTATCCACTGTGAGGCGCTGGACTTTTCGACGTCATGCATTGCTTTTGCCTGAGAGATTTGGCCAATCCGTGTATGCCTAAACTTTTGATGAAGCTTATGAAGTTTAGTTTTTGTAGGTCTTGTAAAAAACCTGTTGTTATTTTTGTGACTTATATCACTTGTCTGGCAGTAACATTAGAACAAGTCCACGAAATTCATCAAGAGTGCGCAAGTCGTTGGTGAGAGCCTTGAGGGCCATACAAGTGACAACACTACTTCCCTCAGTTGCGCCCCCCAATTTTGATGGAAAGCATCCGAGTGGGACGAGTTGGAGGGTCTCCTACCTCTCTTCGCTTACCAGCAACCTCTCGAGAGAAATTTCGCTCGTCGCATATTTAGTGTGCCCCCGTGCCGCACAGACGTTATACATTTACAAACATTCATGTCTTTTTCAGGATTCGAACCCGGGCCCTTCGATAAAGCAGTCTGCGTTGCTAACCACTGTCCGGGTTGGGCTGCTCTTGAAAATGTTACGTGGCTTATTAAAAGAAATTAAGCTAAAAAGACACACATACGAAAATACAGCTGTTAGGTTACTTATAATCAAGCAATAGAATATTTTTTATAAATCATTTCTGGTTGCAAATGCCTTAAGATTATTCATGATGACACCTTATCGGATTCATGTTCAGGCATCTGAGTGTTTGAGAAACTAGGCTTTCAGTTATTACCTGTCATTACGCAAAATAATTGTTATCCCTTATTGTTTTCATTGAGTTGTTACATTAACTTGCAATACAGAAAATTCAGCACTGTAAACTACTTTGTATTTTGCATAACATTATTTAAGGATACCTAATTTCATAGACTTTTTTTTAAATATAATGAAGTTATACAGGATCAGGTTTTGTAAACACAAATTTTTCGAAACAGTTGAGCATTTTACAACATCTAATCTTCCAGGATGAACTTTTATTGGTTGAATTTTTCGATTTTTCTTGCACGACTGCCTTCTGTCATGCAATCTGTCTATTCTTGACCGATATTTTCTCAGTTTCGAAGCAACACAAGGCTGCAATATCCTCAGCGTCACACTTCTTTACTGCGTTCAGGTGTTCCGATACGACTGCAATATCAAGAACTAAATTAATCGATGCCTTATAAAAGGCGGACTTTCCACCGTTTTTTCCCCAAGAGGACGACTGCAATTCCTGAATTCTTTATCAAAGCTACGCTAACTTTCAGTGCATTATTGTGAATAATATAAATTTTTTAACAAAAAAACTTTTTTGCAATCAGTGTTGCTTGCACATGTTGAACTACGTGTTCTGTTCTTTAAATGGATGAAGTTTTTATTTTCTCGGTTCCTTTAGTAATATGCACATTTTGAGATTTTATGCCCATCTTACTCACCAAACACAACCAGGTCTCAGTCGGTTTATCTTAAAAACTGGATATTAGTTTTCTTAAAACAAGAAACCTATCGAACATTGATTAATCTGTAGCATAAAAATTAAAACAGCCCGTTGTTTTATTAAAAAAGGAAGTTGTGAATACACCAAAAGTCTACACGTAAAATTAAAATTTTGTGATTACGAAAACAATTTTCGTTTTTTCTCTCTTCCCCAGACTTTTGCCTTATTTTGTTTTAGTTTAGAAGAGTTTGCTAGGGCGCTCAACCGGGATAGTGGTTAGCGACGCTGATTGCCCTATCGAAAAGCTCTGGTTTGAATTCCGCATAACGCATGAATGTTTGTAAATATATAGTGTTTGTGCAGCACAGGGGCAGTTTAAATATGAGCCAAAAGTCCTTTCGAGAGGTTGGTGATAGGGTAAAAGAGAAGAGACCATCAGAACCTTCCCTTCGGGGTGCTTTCCATCAAAATTGGGGCGGAACTGAGCAAATTCGTACTGTCTCTATGGTGCTCGAGGCTGTTGCCAAAAGACAGGCGCAATCTTGCACTCCTTCCTAAGATGAATTTCCTAA